CAACCCTTGTACTGCTCGGCCCAACTGGGGAAACACCCTCTCAAGGCACGCGATCGCTGCTGCTTTGGATCTTCGAGGGGGGCTGGCTTGGGCACTTCTTGCACAAGGAACCCAGCCCCAGCCAAGCAAATCCCCCACACCTCACACGCGTTATCACCCAACCCACCCCGCTCACCCTCGCATCCGCTCCGTCTCAGACCCTCACCATGAGAAGACCGTGGCCTTGGATACGAGGCCGATGTGGCATCACAGCAGCAATTCGGCCCCTGACTTTCGTCCTGGGCTCGGTTTGGTGAAGTGATGAATTCCGGGGTCCTTACGTGGGAAAAACAAACATCACTTCACTAATCTGGGGCCCCTGGGGCCTCAGTGGGCCCTAGGGCCCAGAATTAGTCAAGTGATGGTTTTCGGGCCTCGGATTGGAGCCACGTGATAGCTTGGGAACCCCCAAACCGGGTGGTGAGATACCAGGTGGCGACCTGGAATCCCCCAAAAGGTCACCGCTGGGTTTGGGGACGCGGGGTCACCACCGGGTTCTGTGACTCCTGGACCCACCAGTGCCCGGGACATCCTCGGAAAACCGCACGAGTCCCCAAACCCGGTGCTGACACCGAATCGCCCGAGACTCACCGCCAGGTGTTGTCACCACCACGTTTGGGGACTGCCATATAGCCTGGGCCTCCGTGCGCCGATGCTCGGAAGCAGCACGCGGAGCAGTGCCTCGACGAAGCGCAGCACACGGCAGCGGAGCAGCGGCGGTCGTCCGGCCGAGGTGGCCCCGGATGCTCCGTCACCCGACCTCTGCCTTCGAGCCGAGCGCACGCGTGCTGCGACCGTGGGAGGAGGAGGAGGGGGAGGAGGAGGAGGAGGAGGAGGAGGAGGAGGAGGAGGAGGACGAGGAGGAGGAGGAGGAGGAGGAGGAGGAGGAGGAGGTGTCTGCCAGTCTGCCAGGGTGGTGCTCGAGAGCCTTATCGGGGAAGCCAGCCGAGCACGACCGTCGAGGGCTGCTCGGCACATCCTGGACATTTCCCCCCGTCCACAACTCTCGGCATGGACCCCTTTTCGGGCTCCGAACACTGGGGCGCAGCTGGAGCGCGTTTTTGTTTAGATTCGGCGACGATGGGCGGTATAGGGCAGGAATGGGCCGCGAACGAGACTGATCGCAAACACTCCGGACCGATCGTCGACCACTTCGGACTGATCACAACCAGCTGCGGTGGGTCCGAAATGGTTGCGATGCTATTGGGTCGCTTCAGTAAGGTTACGAGTAAGAGAGTGATCACAAGAACGCTTCTGGGTGCACTGAACTCCCTTAAGCCGCCCAATGGGAATCTGAAAAAGCGGTTGTGCTCGGTCCGATCACCAAAGGCCGATCATGATTTCAGCTAAAACACTTGTACTTGAACACGAACGTGGCCATGATCCGTGAACGATTCCTATGTGATTCGTATACGATTCCAATGCGATTCGTATACGATTCCTATGTGATTCGTATACGATTCCGATGCGATTCGTAAACGGTTCCAATGCGTTTCGTCTGAGGAATGCGCCAGAGACCCTCAGAGGGTCGCGTCGGGAACCTTGAGAATCCCTACGAGGGAATTTCCAATTTCCAGGACTCTTCGGGAATCTTGGGGGATCTGTAAGAGGGCCGAATTGAGCGCCCCAAAGAACGCCCAAAGAGAGCTCGTGATGGAGCGCGCAATAGAGCTCGTGATAGAACGCTCAATGGATCTCCGAATTGAGTGCCCAATAGAGCGCCTGATAAAGCTCCGACAAGGGCGCCCAATAGAACTCAGAATAGGCATTGTCAACAAAATCCTCTCAGACGCCTCAGAGAAGCCTCTCAGAAGCCTCGCGGAGGCCTCAGAATGGCCTCTTTGTTCCAGAAGCTCCGCTAATTCCTCGCAGAAGCCTCGGCCTCTCAGAGGCCTCAGAGAAGCCTCTCAGAGGTCTCAGAGAAGCCTCTCAGAGGCAGAGAAGTTTCTTTGAGGCCTCAGAGAAGCCTCTGAAAAGGCCTCGCTGAGGCCTCGCTGAGAGTTCTGAGTCTGCTCTACAGAAGCTCTGCAGAAGCTCCTGAGGTGCTCGTTAGAAGCTCTGCAGAGGCTCTGCAGAAGCTCTTCAGAAGCTCTGCAGAGGCTCTGCAGAAGCTCTTCAGAAGCTCTGCAGAAGCTCTGCAGAAGCTCTTCGGAAGCTCTGCAGAAGCCCAATAGAAGTTCTGCAGATGCTCTGCAGAAGCTCTGCAGAAGCTCTGCGGAAACACTGCGGAAACACTGCAGAATCTGTTCGGAAACTCTGCAGAATCTCTGCAGAAACTCTTGGATCGGCTACACTCCGGTGTTCTCGACGAAAATTTGTAGAGGAATCCTTCAGGTTGCGATCAGTCCGCTTCCAATGGTTGTAATCAAACCGAAGTAGTTTCTGAACAGTCCGAAATGGTTGTAATCGGTCTCATTCTCGGCCAGGGGGGGGTATAATGTAACGCCTCCCCCCCCTCCGTGCGCGCGGCGGCAGTGCCCGGAGCGCACTTGGGGGGAGGGGCGTTACGTTATAGGGGGGGGAGGGGGGGGCCAGGGGCTATAATGCCCATTATGCCCCAAGCAACAAAGAAACACGCTCCTGCTTCCACAGTAGGGTGCAGCGTAGCTCCCTCCTTGGCCAACCTGTCCGCGTGCCCGTTGCCTTACCGCTCGACGTGGGACGAGGGCCCCTCAACAACATCGGTGCCGTCGGCGTGTCCCAGCGTTGCGTGGGCCCCAGCCCCACCTTCAGAAGCATGCCGGACTCCGGACCAGAAGTAGGCCGTCGGGCTCGGTGAGCAGACCGCAGCCGCCCTGCCCCAGGCACTCTCAAGGGTTTCCTCGGAGTCGGTCCAAATCTGGAGAACCACTCTCTACAAGACTAGCTGACATATACTGCGCGTAGTCGTCCCCACCCCTGGCTTGCTGGCATGGTGCTATATCCATGAGATATAGCATCATTGCGCGCACCACACCATGCGCGGCCGAGAGGAGATCAACCCCAGCCCGCGCGCCTGTAGCGCTCCGGGATGGGATTGAGGGCCTTTCATCACTAAAGATCCGACCCGAGAATTCCCCACCCTGCTTGCCGTCACTCGGACGTCCATTTCCCGTGCGTGTTTTTGTTACTCGATGGTCCAGGATGGTCCTCGATGGTTCTCGCCGAGTCCGAGCGATGCCAAGCCTGCGGCCGACTAAAACAGTCAGTGTGCCAGTCGCCTACAGACAAGGCGGGAGGCGTCAGCCCTCTGGGGTCAGGAAACATGCCAGCCGCAAGCTTCCCGAGATCCTGTTTCGAAAGAGCAGCCTGTTCAGCATCACGTCGCGCCTTGATGGACAGGTACTCCCGTCTGTCGCCGCTGAAGGCAGGGCACTCGAACCTCCAGTGAAAAGATGTTCTGGGGCGTCTAAACATATCTGGCACACAACGCACTCACTGAAATTGTGTTCGTTCAACCTCACCAAAGTCCAGGATCCCAGGGAACACAGCGTCTAACGCAGCTCTGGCATCGATCGTGCCACAGGTCGTTATGGCTGCCATTGTTTCATTGTCCAAGCAACTCCTCAAGTCGGAGGCCTACGCCAAGCTCTGTTAAGCTTAGGCCTTCCTCCACCTTCCTTCCACCTTCCTCCTTCCTCCTTTCTCCTTTCTCGTCGTCATCGTGTTCGTGTTCGTGCTCTTGTTCGTCGTTCTCCTCCTCCTCGTCCTCCTGAACCCCCCTCCTCCTCTTCCCCTCCTCCCCCTCCTCCTCCTCCTCCTCCTCCTCCTCATGATCCCCCTCATGCTCCTCCTTTTCCTGCTCAACTTGATCCCCCTCCTCCTCGTCTTAATCATCATCGTCATCAGCAGCATCAGCATCATCAGCATCATCACCACCACCAACACCATCAGCATCCTCAGCAGCATCATCACCATCAACAGCTTCATCTCCATCATCATCAGCAGCAACAGCATCATCAGCAGCATCATTATATCATTATCACCACCGCCTTCACAGCCACCACCACCATTATCGCATCCTAGTCGTCATCATCATCATCGTCATCATCAGCAGCATCATCGTCATCAGCGTCATCATCGTCAAGATCAGCATAATCATCGACACTACCATACTCATCATAATCATAATCATTGTCTTCAACATCAACATCATCACCATCAACCTCACCATCACCATCATCCGCATCAGCGTCGCCATCATCACCACCGTCGTCGTCGTTATCGTCAACGTCCTCATCATCGTCAGAATCAGCATCAGCCTCAGCATCATCATAACCATAACCATCCGCATCAATATCGACTTTAGCACGATCAGCACCACCATCACCATCTCCAACATATTCAGCATCATGATCGCCATCACCATCACCACCATGACAATCACCAGCATCATCATCAGCATCAGCAGCAAACATATCACCATCACCAGCTACATCATCACATCCACCATCACCAGCCCCATCACAATCACCATTGTCACCACCACCATCACTATCACCATCACCATCATCATCATCATCATCATCATCATCATCATCATCATCATCATCATCATCATCATCATCATCATCATCATCATCATCATCATCATCACCATCATCGCCATCACAGTCACCATCATCAGCATCGTCACCATCCCCCTCCCCATCACCACCATCATCACCGTCGCCATCACCACCACCACCTTCGCCATCCTCAGCCTCGTCCTCCTCCTCGTCCTCGTCCTCATCCTCATCATCCTCGTCATCCTCGTCGTCCCCCATCCTCCCCCATCACCATCTCCATCATCCCCACCCGCATCGCCCAACCAAACGGCCCTGACGGCCAGACGCCGAACACCACCCCTCCCTGCCCCCCCCCCCCCTGCGGCCTGCCGCAGACTCCGCTCCGCCTCGCCGCGCGGGCCCGCGCGCTCCGCGGCCCCGCCGGAGGCGGCGAGCAGCAGCTGGTCCCAGGAGACCTCGCTCGGGCGAGGAGGG